AACAAAGAAACAAAGGAAAAAAAGAGATGAACCAAAAAACAGTCTTCAATATAGAGAACAAGCTGATGGTTATCACAGGAGAAGTGCTTGGGGCAATAGGTGAAATAGGTAATGGGGATTAAGAGTGCACTTACTATGATGAGCATTGCAGTGTATAGAATTGCTGAATCTCTATATTGTACACCTGAAAGTAATATAACACTGTATGTTAATTATACTGGAATAATTAATTAATTAAAAAGAGTTACAGAAGGAGAGTATAGCAAGATCAAAAAGAAAAATATAATCCTCAGGTGCCTGGGTGGCTCAGTCAGTTAGGTGTCCGACTCTTGATCTCAGCTCAGGTCTTGATCTCAGGGTCTTGAGTTTGAGCCCCATGTTGGGCTCCATGCTGGGCATGGATCCTACTTTAAAAAAAAAAAAAAGAAAGAAAAATATAATCCAAAATTTAATAGTAAAAAATTTCCCAGGACCACAAAAATGCCGACTGTTTCATTGAAAAAAAAATTAACTAATATGAAGAAAAGAATCCAAATTTGTAGATGTCATGGTGAAATTTCAGAAGAACAATGATTAAGAGAAAACCTTAAAAGCTTCCAAATTATTAGAATTAATAAGAGTAATGTAGAGTGGTTGGATAAAAGTTAAAATCCAAGAGTTTTCATATATACTAACAATAAACATTAGCAAAATGTAAAGGAATACATTAATAGCAACAAATATAACAAAGATACAGTAATATAAAAGCCTCATAATGTGTAAGACCTCTATAAGAAAATTATAAACCTTATCAAAGAATATAAAGAAGATTTAAATAGAGAGAGAGATACCTCCTTCCTGGACAAAAAGATTCAGTATTACAATTGTCATTTCTTCCCAAATTCATTCAGTACAGTTAGAGTCAAAAATCCCAACTGGTTTTGTTTTTTGTTTTTAAAGAAACTTGGCAAGCCAATTTTAATGTTCATATGGAAGGGAAAATGAAAAAAAATAGAATAGTAATAGAAATGCCAACTGGATGTTACAGCTCTGGTGATATTGCCCTGGCAATAAGTTTTCCTTACTCCATGTAATTACTACTAATTGTAAGAGGTTTCTGGCTCATTTGAAAAAAAAATAGCCATAATTTTCATTAAAATTAGCAATTAAATCATCTTCTTTCAATAGCACTTACCTCTAAGGGGTAAATAAGATTGTGCAGTAGCACCAGCCAAAGAAGCAGAAGCAAATTGCTCAAAAGTTCCTAATTTGACTCCTTCAGAAGCAAGAAACTTCTTATACTGTATTAATAAGAGTTTAAAGTTATGTTAATACTCAGAAGTCCCAGAGGGCATAGAAACATTTCATATCAATGAACACTTGGGCATTTAATCCATAGTTAAAAACCATAATGCACATTACCAAGGACGTAAATATAGTCATGCCCTTTAGGTGGGAGGCCCCAACCTTAACAGTAGAAACTTCAGCTTGTATGTCTTTTTGCCTAGAATAAGATCTGGTATCCAGCAGATATCCAACGTGTTGATTATAATAAGGAATTATAAAGGAATGGAAACCACTGAGATGTAAATAACTAAGCACCTTATGCAGTAAGTTCTGGCGGCAACTCTATCCAATTTTAACAAAGCAACGTAACCTCACAAACAGACCTAGGACTTGATCTTGCCTAGGTCACTTACTGAGTAATCCAGGACAAATTATCTAACTTCTCTATAACTCAGTTTTTTCATCTGGAAAATGAAGTTACATGCCTTGTCCATACTGGTCACCATTATATTTGCAGTCCCTACTTTGCAGGATTGTTGTGAAGATTAAACACAATAATGCAGATGTGTAACATGCTTGCCACATAGAAACTGAGGGAGCTGTCATTATTACTGCATAATGATAATAAAATTTTCCTTAAGGAATGGATATTTCCTTGGCCTTTATTTTGGTCTGTATTTTAGCTTCTTGTTCCAAACCAATCAGTACATTCTATCATTCTGCAATATTGATTAGTTCAAGGATTGATAAATGACACAACCTGGACCAGGGAGACCCAAGGAAATGTTTTAGGAAGACCTCCCAAAAGAAGCTTCCTTGCTCTTCTGAGAGAACTACGAGAAGAGTCAGCTCTCTTCCTGCTACAAAGAAACATGAACCCCTGGAAGCCTCAGGCAGTCATCTTTCAATCACAAAAAGAGTAAGTCTTAGGGTAAAGAACCCAGTGGAGGTCAGAGAGAAGATGGGTGGGGTGGAGTCTTTGGTGACACAGTTGATCTGATAAATAAAGCTTCACCAGAAGTCCACCCTATTTCTAAACGTGAGAAAATAAATGCCATTTATTATGGAAGCCAGCTTGAGTCACACTTCCTGTTATTTATGACCTAAAGATTCCTAACTAATATGGACACCTCAAGCTCCACATGCCCAAAACTAAACACACACACACACACACACACACACACTGCCCCTCAAAATATACTGCAAATGGAGCCCTTGAGGATTTGTGACATGGCAGTGCTGCCCAAGTGTTCCCCATCACAATAAATGGCCCCAGTTGAACAAACTAATAATTTCAGTATCATCCGTGACATCTCCCTCTCTTTTACAGTCCACAAATAATTATAACAAAATCTTATCCACTTCCTAAGTATCTGCAGAATCTGTCCGCTTGTCTCTCTCCACTGACATCACTTTCATCTCTCACCTGGGTTACTTCAAACTGTCCCAACCATTCTCCCTGCGCTTTTGCCTCTCTTCCCTTTGCTTGTCTGCCTCCTCAGCCTCCTCTTTAACCACAATCACCACTCTAGTCTTAGGGAGCTTCTTTTTTTGTTGTTTTTTGTTTTTAAAGA